ATATCCCCCAAATGTCAGAACAGTACAGATATCCCTCAAATGTCAGGACAGTACAGATATCTCCCAAATGACCCCTATTTGCAAAGTAGACAGTCCAACGTACTTCATAGGAGGCATGGCGAGTTTTTTGAAGTTGTATTTTTTTTGTCATAATTTTTTGGAAAATTAAAAAAATTAGTTTCACTATTTTTTTTTTTTTACATATTGTCACCAGTGCAGTACAGTGTCATCATATAACTGGCATGGCGGTGATCAGGGACACTGACTGGTGACAGTATGGAAAAAAAAAATTATATATTTTTTTTTTATTTTTTATTAAATTTTTTTTCTTTTTTTTAAGATTTTTTTTTCATATTTCGCTATGACCAAAGTAGTACAATGTTACCATAGTAACATTGTACTACTTTGGGGAAGTGATCAGTATTTTTTTTTTTACACAATGTGCTTATAGCAAAGAATTACTTTGCTATAAGCAAGCATTTACCTGAATGACATCGATTCATTCAGGGTTTTTTTTTCTTTTTCTTTTTTTTTTTTTTGTGCTCAGCTGTGATTTGGCCACAGATAATCACATGACATGCGCATGTGATTAACTGTGACCATTCACAGCTAGGCAGTAGTATACAATGGATGGCATGAATGAAGCCATCCATTGTATACAACTGTCATGTGACCTGCTGTGATTGGTCACAGCAGGTCACAAGGTACCGGCAACGGGGCTGATACTCAGATCTGTCATCAGCCATGTCCGAGGTACACAGCCGGTGACAGATCGTGCCGCTGCGCCGCTCTGCAGGAGCGCAATCTGCGCATGTGCGGGAGGACGCCATATGGCGTCCACCCAGAATGCTGATGACATTTGCCGCCCGCCATTCGGCCATAGGGCGGGCGGCAAATGGTTAAAAGTCTCAACTGGTGTTAAATATTTTTTCATTTTTTTTATTTGGTACTTAGTCTGTAACATAAGGCTGGCCATGTGTTTATACAATTTTCTGCCCAATTTCCTTTATATTTACCTTCAACTATGTAGTGCAAGGGCCTGCCTAATTGGATACAATTGAAAGTGTTGTTTAGGTTTGATCTCCTATTATATGGTTTTTGGTAAATCTAAACCAATATTCTCAAGAAAATTGTATAAAGTATGGCCAGCCTTAGTGTTCTTTAAAATTCCAGAATGCTTTGGCTAATTATTAAAAAATATTATGGTGGGTTTTTTTAAAAGCTAAATTCAATGTTGTTGGTCAAATTTAGTATTTAAGGTGTCCTTTTATCATGCAGTGGTAAATAACCGCTGCTCAGTTTTCCGGCATTCTTAGAGGAGACAGTCCTCCTGTGAATGCCTTTTTATGAAGCGGTGTAGATCACTTCTCCGAATGAAGGGAGAAGCGATCTACAAACGCTGGAAAACGGCTGCTTTTACTATAATCTCGCGAGATTACAGTAAGAAATCAGTTGAACGCCGTTTACTAAGCAGACGTAAATTATCGCTGCTTCATTTGCGGTTCCTCCGATCCTCCAGGTCTGAGCTGGAGAATATAGAGGGAGAACATGGATTGCCAGTGAAGGGCTGACATCGCTCCTTTATACACTGGTCATCTGTGTGCTGAGATGATCAGTGGAGAACATGTTCTCCGCTGATCATCTGTTTTCTAAACCACAAATAATCAGAGATCAGCAACGATCCTCAGGATCGCCGCTGATCTCTGTTTCATAAAAGGACACCTCAGTATTTACTGTAACTTTATAGTATGTTTCTACAAGTCATTGAACTTGCTTAAAAACTCCATATAAAATAACTTCCACCAAGTCTTAATTTGCCATTCTCTTGTAGGATCGAGTGATTATTAACCGAATCGACAACATTTGCCACTCGGTTCTGAAGGGGAAGTGGCCATCCTCGAGCCAGCAGTTTGAAGCACAGTGCATGGTACCGTCAGTGTTACACAGCAATCCACCAATGAGGAGCAGCTACAGCACTTCAGAAGCACAAAGTTACAGCAATGGCTCCCCCCCAGCTCACTTGGCCACAAGGTAAGTTTGCAGTAAAAAGACAAAGCTGTTAGGGGAGGCATTTAATAGGTAGACATATTTTGTAGTGTTATGCAGCTGTTGAAATCTGGTGTGGAAGTTTGTTTGGACATATTACTGCTCTGTGGGTGCTATTCTATCTGAAACACCATAATTTATATCCACCCAGTGTGTAAACCACAATGAGCAAAAATTCCTGCCGCTTAACCCCTTGGCGCCGGTGCCTCCTGGCCCTTTAAGAATTTCAGAATCCGGGAGGCGGGGTGGGGTTTTAGGGTCAAGTGACCGCCGTGATTCACCGTCACGGCGGTCACATGATCGGGAAAGGTCCCGATCGAAAGAGGAGATCAGGACCTTTCCGTGAGTACCGGACATGTGTGCTGCGGACAAGGGAGCGCGCTCTTGGCTCATATGACCTTTTTTAATAGAACGCAAATATGCGGCCGCTCTGCGTCTAGGCCCAGACGCCAGGAGGCCGCACATTTGTGTGCGGCCGGCGTGAAGAGGGGGCACGTGAACGGTAAACTCTTTTGTTTTCAGATGGCTTTTATTTAGCTGGTGGGTAAAGTCATTTATGGCACAGTTTCCATTTTATAAATCCCAATTACAAGTGATTTATCTGTACGGATCATATAGTCGTAAGACACAGTCAAATGTGGATGTAACAATTTGCCCAATAGTGAGGATTTTTCACAGAGCTCCAGTAACCTTCTTTTACTAAAACGCTGAAGAAGAATCTGGGTTGTTGTTGCAGTATATGATATTTAGCAGCAAACTAACATTTTTACAATACAGTAAGGCCAGATCCAGTCACTTTTTAAAAAAAAAATTTAAATTCGAAATAAAGTTGAGGCAACGGGTAGAATTTCTTATCAGGATTTTATTTGTGATCTATGTCCCCATGAAGAGGTTCTCCATCACTTTCATTTGATATGAATGGATCGGAAGTCTTGACAGCGGGGATAAAGACTGCAACAAAATGCTTTTATTCCCAATAAAAAGAGGAAGAGTTAGAACTTCTGTCAGATAATCATTATTGTTTGTCCCAACCGCCTCTTATTTCTGGTACTGCTGTTAAAGTGACAGTACTTAACATTTCCACCCAAAAGGGGAAATTCTGCTTTATGTCCTCTTACTCTCCTTCACTTCTATTTCTGGCACTTTTTTTTGGGGGGGGGGGCGAGAGGGGGAGGGTCTTTACCTGGTTTTGACAGGTACTCACACCCACTTCTGGTCGGATTGCTATGGCAGTCCACTGGAAGTTCTCCTTCCCACCAAATCTGTCTGTGTATTCCAGATTAAAGAGGAGCATCAGTCAGGCTTGAAAAAATTAAAAGTCAGCAGCTAGTTACTGACTTAATAAAAAGACACTTTCCATCCCAGGGATCCAGCACTGTATTTGCCGGTCTTCAGTGCCATGATGACTGCAGGAGGTTGGCTGCGGCTCCCTGCTGCTTAACAGTCAGCTTCTTACTGCAGATCTATGAGCCATGCTATGCTACTGTGAGTAGTCTTGCAGCCTCCTGTGACATGTCCCAGGAGGTTGCAGGGACAAAGGGGTGGCTGGGACTAATTTCCACCCAGACCACCTAGGCAATCCCAATGAAAATGGGAGCGGTTACCTGTCAAAACCTCCCATTCCCCCCCCCCCCCTTCCTTATTGTTTACAATAAGGAGAGAGAAGGTGGGACAAAGGATAAGCAGAACTTTTTAGGTGAAGTTCCACCTTAAAGAGTAACTCCACTTTTCTTGAGAAAACACTCCCTTCTGGGTGATCTATGTACATTGCAAGGATTTTTAACATACTTTGTTGCAGATTCCTACCTTTTGTTATTCTGGAGAAATAGCTGTTTGTCTGTGTTCATGTGCAGAGTGAATCTGTATGGGAGTGGTTTCATAATTATCAATCAGCTGCTGCACCTGCAGGGCTCTAATGAGGAAATTGGCATGGTCTGCATCACTTTAGCCTTGATTTACCTTTGGGAGTATCTGACCAAAAATCTGACTTGTATCCTAGTGCAAACTTCTGGGAAAATCAGTGAGCCAATCACTGAAGCAGGAAATGCCATTTTCAGGGGTGTTCTTTACATCATCTGTGTAAAGAATGCCTCCAGGTAGCCATATTGCATTGAATTTTACAGAAAATGGTAGTCCTGCAGATTGAAAAGGAAGGATAATTTTTTAGAAACATTCAATTACAATATGACTTGAGTTGCAATTGTATACGCTACATTTCTTTTTATTTGCCTTTTTTTTTCCACGAAAGTTAACCTTTAAAGCGTTAAAGCGGAGTTCCACTTAAAAAAAAAATAAAAAAAATAAAAGTCAGCAGCTACAAAAACTGTAGTTGCTGAGTTTTAAAATACAGCCTCACCACCTCTGGTTTCACCGGCCATCTTCTCTTCCTGGCGCCGCCATCTTCAGTGTGGGCACCCGGCTGTTACAGCTTGCAGCTTCACAGCCTGGTGGCCACTGCGCATGCGTGAGAAGCGCTGCACTTTGTGAATGGCCCCGTAGTCTTCTGGGACCTGTCATGTGTCTCACAAGACTACAGGGAGGGAGGGGGGGGGACAACGTCCGCTTCCGATCGCCTAGGCGATCGCAGCGGAAGTGGGAGCGGGTACTTGTCAAATTCGGGTACCCGCTCCCCAACTGCCAATCTTTAATGGGAAGCGGGGGATAAAGGCTTAAAGCAGAACTTCCCCTTTTGGGTGGCGCTCCACTTTAAGTAACCCAGACTACAAGCAGGCAGCATGGAGATAATAAATGTCAAGTGTATACTTGTGAGTACGGGAACCATATAAGCACAGATGTGTTGAGCAGGTCTTATATTAATGTATTAAAATATTATTTACCTTAATTTTTTACTTTTGCAGGAGGCAATAACTGCTCCAGCATTTTCCAATGATGAACGTAAGCCAAGAAAACCATTTGAGTTTGACAGTGAGCGGTCAGACATTAAACCCCGGGTTGCCCAGCATCTCACTCCATCACATGGGAGGAGCTCTGTAGCTATTAATGGCTGGAGAGAGACTGCCATGGAGCTCTGCAGAGAACAATCTACAGCTACCAGCTCAGCCTACTCCATCAACAGCAGTACACCCAAGGTGGCAGGAATAGGCGGTCTGCAGAGCTCCCTGGGAATGGACTTGTCAGGAATCCTGCAGGCTGGTCTCATCCACCCTGTAACAGGTCAGATTGTAAACGGAAGCCTGCGCAGGGAGGAATCTGCCCTTCGGAGGAGACGAGGAAGAAGAAAAAATGTTGAAGGGATGGACCTGGTTTTCCTAAAGGACAGGGGCATGCATGCAGGAATTGTGGTAAGACGACACATCCAACAGGCTGAGAATAGTTTGCCTGTGAATGAAAGTATGGGTTTGTGTGAACAGTAAGTGTGTAGTTTCAAATATTCTTGTTACAAGGAAGCAGGTCTACATATAATGAATAATTATCTTTAAAGGGCTGTAATATTTAAATGAAAATTTTAATGGTGTTGGGTACATTTTTTTTTAAATTATGTTTTTTCTGCTTTTTTTTTTCCATTCCTTTTATGTATGCAATAGTTGTAAAAATGTTAAAGAACCTCTTTCACGCACACCCAGGATGCATGTGCATATAAAAAACAATTGGATTCCTCAGCACATCATGAGTATTGCCGCACAAGCCAAAGTGGAATAATTGTAGGGCCATCACTAAGTGTAGCAAGTTAACTTTGTTATAAAACGAAAAAAAAAATGGTACTAAAAACATCCACGTTTAGTAATATGAGAAAAGGCATATCCTAAAACCAAGGGAAGTCATATCGGGGACCTAGGTCAAACTGCAGCAATCCAGAGAGGGTAAAGAGAAGTCCCCTGCAGCATATAGAGGTACAACAACACCAGAGTCCGTTTCACAGTGTGGGAATATTCCAGGATGATGTCAGATGTTGGAGGGCATGGAAGGGGCAAGGCTAAGCATTTCAAGGCAGTAATGCCTATTTCTCAAGCCTCATGGCTTGACTCCTGAAGTTGGCAATAAAACCTGTATTGGATATCAAGATCCCCTTGATACTGAGATGACCTTCTGCTGAGGGTTTAGTCAGCAAAGGGCCCTGTTGGACAATGTAACTCTACCTGTCTAGATGTTAGAGGTTTCGGTGGATCCTGAACCTTCAGAAATCATTGCTGTTACCAACTCATTGCTTGGAGCATCATGGACAAATCAGTCCTGTCTTTGGACAGACCAGTTCGGTTTTTACCAAGTATGAGGCTGTCCTTGACTTGATGGTTAAGGCATCCAGCTCTGGAGTTTGATAAGTGTTTTCATCCAGTCTTTTGGAAGATTCTTACAATGGATGCTAGTCTTTTGGAATGTGGAGGAGTCCTGGGCTGCATTGGAAACAAGCCGTTGGAGGGTTGTGCACTTCAGATTCATTCTGAATATGTCACAGCCGTGGCATATATCAACCATCAGGGAGGAACCAGAAGTCTCACTGTGGCAAGAAAGGTAGAGCAAATACGGCCCTGGAGTTTCTCTGTGAGAAAAATTCTCTCCTTCTTTCATTTGGGTCCTAGTTTGGCTCCTAGTACCATCGAAGGGCAAATGTCTGCATTTTCCATTAAGTTACAAAGCCCATTGGCCTCTCACCCTTTAATTAAGAAATTTGCCATGGGTCTCCCATGTTGCTCCTCCCCATCTGTTCCCATTGACTCTTGTAGGATCTCAACCTGGTTCTGTTTGAGCTTTGGAAGCCGCTGCTTGAACCCATTATAGGCATTCATTTCTCTATTCTGACCTACAGGGTGGTGTTCCTTGTAGCTATCACTTCTGCAAGATGAGTTTCTGAGCTGGCAGCCTTACCTTTCAGACCTTTTTTTGTCTTGCATAGGGACAAGGTAGTATTGAGGCCTGGGACTTCCTTCTTATCTAAGGTACTTTCAACCTTTCACCTTAACCAAGACATTATTCTTTTGTACAGCTGTGGTTGATCAAAAGGAAATCCATTTTCTGGATACGGTTCAAGCTGTGCAAGTTTACCTCTCAGTCACTGCTTCTTTCAGGAAGACTGTTTCTCTTTTTGTCATTTTGAAATGACTTCAGAAGGAATCCCCCTCTACACACTTCTCATACCACAATTTCTAAATGGCTTAGATTATCGTTCTGTTTATGGTCTCAAGGAATGCTCCCCCCCATGTTCCCATTCTTTCCTGTTAAGGCTCTCTCTTCTAGACCTGTGAGTGCCTCTTTCGGTATAAGGCAATCAGGTTTCAAGATTTGTATAGCTGACCATAGGAGGGTAAATTTCTAATGAAAACTCTTGTGAAAAGAAGGTTCTAGGAAAGTTTGTTAATTTTTCTAATCATTAGTGTGACCAATCAATGTTTGTTTTCGACTATGGTGAAGTGAACACTCGAAGGAGCAGGACGGAAACATTTTTGAACGAATATATTTCTGTGTGGTTTTCATTAGTAAAATCCATTCATTTCAAATCAAATATTAAAAGCAAACTATCTTTCGAACAAACAACAAATGTTCTAAGAATGTTCTGAGAAGTTTCATACAACTTTTCCTAGAATTTCATTCCATTTATGGACAGCTTTAGGCCGCCACCTGGTTTTCAGTTCACACATTCTTGAAGGTCCATACAGTGGATATTTCGGCATTGTCTAATGCTAGTTCCTTCTACAAGATCCTTCAGGTAGCTCCAGGTAGACACCAGTTTCCTGTTTGTTAGGAATGTTTGTGATTGTTTCCTGTCTTTCCAGCTCTTTAGTAGGACTGCTTTTGGACATCCCCAAAGCTAAAGACTCCCATCTTCCCCACAAAACAAAAAAGAGAAGAGTATTTTTGTACTCCTTTGCTTGGAGTCCATTGAGGTCCCGACCTCTGTGTTTATGATCATGCTGTCACTTTCTTTTCTACAAAACTGAAGCTTGCTGGTAGCAAGCAGGGTTGCCTTAGGTGGACTTACAGTTTGTATAACAGTGTACAATCCTTCTGTAGGCAACAGTCTAACCTGAAGGTTTATAACTTTCTGTGCAACTCAATGGACTCCAAGAAAAGTTTTTACGGTGAGTACAAAAATTGTTTTGTTACGGAGGTTGTAAGTAAATTTTCAATCCAAAAATGCACCCTTTTAGAATGTGTGAAAAACAGAAAAATTGGTCTAGTAGTAGTGAAGGGGGTTTTACATGCTTTTTTAAGTAACGGGGCTAATGAAAGCCTTTAAATGTGAAAAATAGCGAAGAGTTCCACTGCTGGCAAAATAATTTACAAAATATTTTGGCAATATTTCATGTTTGTCGAATAAATATTCGGATAAGAAAATAAATAATAGAGAAGAAATATTTACAAAACCTGCACATATTCCTTGAACCTGTAATGTTATTGAACCTTTATACATAAATCTGGCAGTGTGATTACCTGAACCAGTTCCACGGGGCCATGTCAGTATTCTACTTTGTGCTGACGTCAATACTAATGTTTCTGTTGTTCTTTAACATGGTTTTTACCGCACAGGGGATGCGGGAAGATTCCAGCCAGCTGGGATCTACGCACACTGAAGGCCCATCTCCCATACAGTCTGCCAGTACAGCTTCTAAGATGCACTCCGAAAAAGTTATTCCCAACAAGAGCCTCCTGGAATGGCTGCGCCAGCAATCGGACTGCACAATAGACATCCCAACCTATGGAGGTGTAAGTGCATGCTTTCTGTTGTGTCGCTTCTTGAATCATCCAAAATTTTAGTAGAACTTTAAGGGCCCTTTTTACACTGGCGGCCAGGGGGCAGTGCAAACTGGCAGTGAATCCATGCTTTTACACACCTCCTGTTTGTCCATATACAAGTAGATATGGCAGACAAAGGAAATTGTACACATACCCTGGCAAATTTTAACATTTGCATGCTGAGCTTGAATGGCATCACTCCCGGTCATATTTGTCCATTGGTGCTCTGCCACCCTCTAAAAAAAAAAAAAAAAAAAGCTAATCCACTGTGGAGTGCTTTTCAGGGGGCAATAGAAACTGTATGATAGAGGCCTTACTGTGCTTCCCAGCAGGTGTTTCCAGTCAATAATGGTTTGTAAATTGTGACATGAGGCTGCAAGTAAAAGAGCATGCCACAGCACAGGGTGGAGCAAAATATAAAAGTGGTATTTTGTATGAACACGGTGTATATGTAAACAACCTTTTTTTTTTATAGTACACAGAGGATGACATATGAATGACTGTTTAGGTTATTCTGCCTCCTTCAGGTAAATGGACATTGGCCTAAACAAGGCCGGTGTCCCTGCCAAGGCATAAGCACGTTCAGCTCAGTTAACCTCGTTTTTTGATGGGATAGAGGAGGGCTTCCTCTGGGTCATTGAATGATTAGGCAGCGATCTCAAGTGTACCAGGCAAACCTAATGTCTGGAATCCAGCACCAACCAGAAGCTCTTCCAGGGCAGTGATCGAGTCACTGAAGACCCCTCATAAACAAGGTGAAGGTGACAGGTCACAAACTGGTGGTTGCTTCGGAATCCAAGAAGAGTTCACTTTATAAGCAACAAACGTTAGGCTCTAAGCAGAAGCCTACATCCCAGTCCAGTGAAAAGAACTAGACCCCAAGTCCTTCTGATTCTAAGGGAAATCCTCCTTACAGTGAAGGGACACCCTCACTCACACAGGTGTCTTGATGTAAAAGCTGGAGTTTCACTGTTCTCCCCTTTTTCTTACTGTGCTCAATGCTATCTTCAGAGCCACAAAAAAGAGTGGTTTTCTTTGCAGCTCTGGAACGGTTACTGTCCCAAGGGGGTCATTGCACCCGTACAGAATGGAGAGAGGTGTCACAGCTTCTTTTCCAACCAGTTTCAGAAAAGTAAGTGCACTCCTGTGACCCACATGGGAAGTATGGCTAAAAAAAGCTTTGGCCAGACTTCTTGTTGAAGTATGGAAGCTTTTTTCACTTAAAAAATTAAATCCTCATTTAAAAACTGCATTTTGTATATACTTGGGTTTTCTTTGTGAAATATTACATTTTGTTTTGTATGAAGCATTTAAGTGTGACAAATATAAAAAAAAAAAAAATCAGGAAGGGGGCAAATACTTTTTTACAGCACTGTAACTGGACACTCTCCCCAGTAAGTAGAAAGACCTTAATCCTTTCATTTATGCCAACTAATTTTCTGCAACGCTTTTGCAGAGTTTATCAGACAAACCTAAGCCAAGGCGTCAGCGGTATAAGGAACCAATGAAGCTGGATTTCAGCATGCTGGCTGGTGAAGAGAGGACCTCAGCTGTAAATAAAGATGCAGGACGACGGGTAGGGTTTTCATTTGAATTTGATTATATGAATATGCACTACATTTTTATTTTTAAAGCAAACCAAGTAAGTATGCTACCATTGGTGAACTTTTTAAAAATGCTAACTGATGTTTGTCCCAGATACCAGTTGCTCTGCTGTCATGCTGATCTTTTGGCTTCACATTTGCATTTGGAATGACACAGGGAAAAAAGTATTGAACACGCTAACTGAAATGTATTTAATACTTTGTACAAAATTCTTTGTTGGTAATGACAGCTTCAAGACACCTCCTGTATGGAGAACTAGTCGCATGCATTGCTCAAATGTGGTTTTGGCCCATTCTTCAACACAAACTGTTTTGAAATCTTGAAGGTTCCGTGGGCCTCTTCTATGAACTCTGGTCTTTAGTTCTTTCCATAGATTTTCTATTGGATTCAAGTTGGGTGATTGGCTGGGCCATTCTAGCAGCTTTATTGGTGACGTGTTCAATACTTATTTTACCCGCTGTGTATGTGTTTGTTTGTGTATATATGGCCATATATATAAAATCAGCAGTTGTACATTTACACATTTATTTGAGGTGATTATTTGTGTTCATAGCGCAGAAGGGTATACTGATTAATTGGCATTTTCCGTTAATGGCCAACTGTGCATAAAGGGCAGCTTTAGGCAGGTAGTAAAAAAAAGTTACTGAACTGCTAAAACTAGTTGGAAACTCCTCTGTCTATGTTGATGGCTGCTGCAGTAGTAAAGAGAATTCTGAGGAAGTCTCTTAGGGAACAGACCCTTCCAAGAATACTGAATGTCTGGTCCCCCGCTGCACTCAGTGTTTCCTCCCATCAACTACTACTTTACTTGAGGTCACAGTAGTGACAGAGGTCGGTGGGAGGAATCGCTGCCTGCAGTGGGGGTCAAGATTCCTAAACTCTGGAAACCTGCAGTTCAGGTTAACTCCAGCTAAAATTTCATTTATTAGTTTTCCTCCAGTTTTTGTGCTTGTGACACTCGTACAAGAAGTGAGGATAGGGGGAGGGGGCGGGTTAGTGGTTGTCGGTGAAAGGAAACCTCCTAACCTGGGACATAGTAAGAAAATTAAATATTAAAAATAGCTGGGCTTTAATATTTTCATTAGTTACATTATTCTAACTTTTTTTTATTAATTTTTTTTTTCTTATTTAACACAAGTTAATTTTATTCTTTCCTTCCTGTTTTTTCAATTTAGGGATTTCTCCCAGAAGCAAAATTCGGTAGAGTGTTGTCTGAACCCCTACTTCATGACCCCGGTCCCAGGAGAAGAGGAAGGAGGCCCCGTACTGATCTACTAAAACCCCCCGGAACCGATTCTTCTTCATCAAACTTGAATCCCCTTTTCATGAACGGCCTAATAGCTGGAATGGATATAGTGGGATTGCAGAACATGAGGAATATGCAGGGTATTCCTTTAACAGGACTCGTAGGCTTTCCTACAGGATTCACAGCTGTGTCTGCCAATGAGGATGTAAAGAGCACGTTGAGTATGTTGCCCATGATGCTCCCAGGCATGACTGCCATGCCTCAGATGTTTGGCGTTGGCGGAATTATCAACTCTCCCATCTCTGCTTCTGTGCCAACATCTTTAGGAAGCACAATAAAAGGTGGCATCACCCAAACGGAGAAATTTGCTGAGGACAATGACGCATCCCAGGAGAGTCCAAATGATGCCGCGCCTGCGGAGAAGATAGCAGGTGCTGCTTTTAAAGAGCAAACAGAACCCACAGTGACTACCAGTAGCCCTGTAGCTTTTAACCCATTCCTTATCCCTGGCATGTCCCCAAGTCTGCTTTACCCTTCCATGTTCCTGTCGCCGGGCATCGGCATGGCAATACCAGGGGTTCAATCTAACCGCACATCAGAGGTAGGTGTCCACGACCCACAGCGGAGGAGGAAGAAGAAGGTTAAGGGAGACCCCCAGACTTCTGAACCTGAGTCGGTATCCTTAACCGAAGCCACAGACCAGGAGCAGCCCTCTCCCAGTGGTCAGAACTGTGTAGATAAAAGTGAGACCCCAGCATCTGAGAGAGAAGAGGACGATTCTGTTTTAAGAGAGACTCCGGACAATATCATTTAGAAATTTGATCCCCTCAAATCTCCCCTCTCCCCAGAAAATTGTGACTTGTGAGTTCATTCTCTCATGACTATTTCTAGCTTTCTGGTGTGTCCATTAGTCTACCTAAACTGCTCCACGTTTTTTCTCCCCTGGTATGCCTGTAACAGCTCTCTAATTTAGGGTAGACTAAACCACAGCACGCGGGGGTGTCGTGGGAAAACCGAATCATTTTTGAGGTTTTGTTTTCCCCATTCCACTTTTTTGTTTTTTGGGGGTTTTTTGTTTGTTTTTTTTGTTTTTTATTAATTTGCATCTTTTCCACTTAAGAACACCAGACTCTTGGTTTCAAGGCACAGTGTAGCACAATGCCTTAAAGCAGCAAGCCCTTCATCCAAAGACAGCCGTTTTGCTAAAGCAATAGGATTGGTGCTGTTTACAATCAGCTTAAAACAGAGAGGAGAAATGTATTATATTCGTTTCCTAAACTCGTGAAATGGGTTCTGTGGTCAACACCTTTTCGCAATCATCATCTCCTGACATAAGTTACAAAAAGTTAGGCAAAAAAAGAAAAAGAAAAAAAAAAAGGTTCATCTCTTTGTTGTGTTGTCAAAAGAATCAGTAGTGTCGTTCCTTCAGCTTAAGAAGGGAAGCGATACCCATGACTGGGTTAAGGACATAAAGTAATATAGTAGTTTAGAGGCAAATTACATTTCTTTGATCTCCATGTACCCCTTTAACCACATTTCATTGCCAAGATTTGAAAGTGAAGGCACCCCCTTCACTGTGAAGGAATGGCACGGACTGCTGCAGGTTGGCCATCCCTAACATTTTACACACAAATGGTGGAGACGCTTGCTATAAGAAGGTGCATGGAGAATAACTGCATAGAGGCATCTCTGTTGGCTTTCTGTCACATGAACATGAATGTGAATGTAGTTGTGGAGGTTGGAGGTGTCTCCCAGTGCTGGCTTACCTGGGCAACTATCATTTCAGATGTGCTTGTTTTTTAGGCACAACACAACGCTTCTCCCCCAAAGAATCGTTGACTGGGGCTATCTGCTGCTTCCACATAGATTTGCTGTTTGGTTCATGAAAAATGACCAGACTGGGCAAAGATCATTTCCAGTCTGTAAGCAACTTAACAGCTTGTGTAGACAGGAAAATGCAACGTGCTTTGAGGTGCATTCAACTTGTGTTTGGGATCAGTTTGAGGCTCTTCTGAGGTCCCTCCAAGTTTCTGTATAAGGTGGGTTTTTTTTAACCTTGTCCTGACCTTTTCTGACTTGCAATTAGCCACCTCCTAAAGCAAGCCATAGACGGAGTGTTTATTTTTCCTGCAATCCCAAGGTTCAGGAAAGAAAATCACTCGATTCCCCCATCAACACATTGAGTGCTGATGGGGGAATCCCTCCTGCGGAGCCATTGTGTTCTCCTGGCGGGGGGAGCCGTCCCCACAAGGAGAACACAGTGATTGCTGCTAGCAATAATTGCATGTAAAATCTGGCAGGCTGGTTGTACCCAAGTTGATTGTTCAATCAACCTGGGTACATTCAGCCTGCCCTATACATGGTTCTAATCTCTGCCGGTTCCTGGTGAACCGGCTGAGATTCCAACCATTAATGGCTGGCTTAAGCTGCTTCAAGCTGCTTTTGCATCCATAGTGAATGGTATGGGATGAAAAGCGAACAAGCTAGTGTACACAAGCACTAAGATGAATGTTTATGTTCTTCAATGGAGAGCAGTCTGTTCATGCAGGCATCCCAAGAAATTTTCAGTTCTGCTTCGGGTATACAATTAAATGTTACACAAACATGCAGCAAAACAATGTACTCTGCAAAACATTGGGTCCCAATTTCAATTTACGTTAACATGAGCTTCTTTACTTACATTTCCTTAAAGGATTCCTTGAAAAGATGAACTTTTTAAGTGGCGGCAAATGGGCTACTATGTCTGCAAACACGTATTTTTCTCCTAAGCATTTGCTGTGATAGACTGAATCAGAATATTGCTGGTAGGGCTGATGTCTAGAACCAACAGGCCAGAGCAGCAAGGGAAGGAGATTGGCTTCAAGTGCAGCTTTTATACATTCATTTGGCCATACAAACTATGATCACAACCGCTAATTGGATCAGGAGACTGCCAATAGGTTACTGCACATTGCTTTATATCTATTTAGAAAATTTTGTTTGTTTTGGGTGGAGGGTTTTTTTTTTTTTTGTTTGTTTTTTTTTTTCTTAGGCTACAGATTTATTATTTGAAAGTAGGCAGCTTTACCTAACTCACTCTGAAACTCGTTTTGGACTAAGCAATGTTCATATGGAGATCACCAGCAGCTTACATAAAAGACCTCAGGCACACACCGAACAGAAACCCTAATCGTAACAATGCAGGTTTAAGCTGTAACAGAGTTCCTATATTAGTAGAAATTCATTACAAGATATAATTGGATAGAATGTTAATTTTTGCTCAGCATTATCTGTAGTGTTAACGCTTCCTGATTCTTGTCGTACAGCAACTAAAAAAAAGCCTTAATCTTAAGCACCCTTAAAAACATGAGGCACTTTTTACCTGTCCCATTTTACCTGTCCCATTTTACCTGTCCCATTTTACTTGTCCCATTTTTCCCTCCCTCCCAATTTCCTGTTCTCCTTAAATTTAAGGAAAGGAGCACTTGATATGGATTGTCACCTTATTTTGTTAAACGCTATCAAAGGCCTGGCCTTTTTTGCTCAATTATTATGTATAGAATTATATATACATTTTAAAGGTAGAAAAACACTGTAGAGTAGCATTCATGATTTTTGTTGAAGGATGGCAGCAGTAGTGCAAGATTTAAGAAGGGCTGCTTCTTTATTAAACAAAAAAACTCCCCATTGGGACAGGAGGTGATCCGGGCTTGTTCCTGCAATGGTGGGCTTATACATTAAAGGGTCTATACTCTTTGGCATTTGACAAAGGGGTCTTCTGTCTTTAGTGCTTCTGGGCCCAGTATGCTTACTCCAGATGCCAGCTATTGTGGTGGAACTAAATTCCTGCTGGATATATGGATGACCTGGTATGGTGGGAACACTGTAGACCCAAGATCTAAATCCGCTTCCTAGCGGAGCATTAAATAAATGTGATACGGTAGGAGCTAGGGCAAATATTAGGACGAAGTAGCCTCTCAGGTTCTTAACTCCCTGCCTTGGAGACTGTACTCAGTCATCTTATATTTGTTGATGGGGAATGCAACACAGCATATGAATAACGGGGGCTTAGAAACTAGAAAAAAAAAAATGAATGGTTCATTCAACCAGCTTTTTCAAAAATGAATGAAAGTAACCTATTGCCCACAGTTTTGGTTGACCATGGGAAGCGATTATGGGGATATGTTGCTGGGAATCATTCATATAGATGTGAACTTGACAAAGTGGTCAGTCTGTTAAAGCTCTACCCCAAGCAGTTATTAAGGAAAACACTCAATTTTCACAGTTATGCATTCAATAAAATAATCAAATCTTGTTTTAAAAGCAACCAATGTACCTGAATGGAATCAGCCTGCTATAATCCGCATGCCAGCAGACTGGTAGAGGGAGTTGGCAGCACCAGGAGCCATGTCTGTCTGTGCAGCATGCATCTGGGCTGACCAGGAACATGCTGGCAGAAGGAGAGAGCACAGGGTAAACCACTATTGCTGCTTCACTGCCCAATCCCAAGTTGAGGGGCATTGAAGTATAACCAAATGTTATCATGTTAACTGAAGTAGAGAAAAGTCAGGTCACCAGCCTGTCTCTGCTTCCTGGCAACACTTTGTAGATCTCAAAACGTAGTGGACAAAAATACAAAATCCTTTTGAATGTAAAACCAATTTGTGGTGTATTGTGGGAGAGTGAAGCGGTAAATTAGTGCTGTGGACAACAAGAACCGCTCTTCCTTCAGACACGTTTATGAATGAGGTCTGCTCAGATTTGTCATCTGCTTTCACTAGAGAGAAAAGATGGCTGCTTTCACATGCTGTGACCCAGAAGCACTTAAAGGAGACCTGTCATAAGAGAAATGCAGGAGCTCTCGTTGCACCACCTTTTGAAAATGCTGGTTTGCCTAGCTGTTATGCTGACTCCTAGTTCCAATACTTTCATTGCTGTGAGTCAAGGACACAGAAGAAATATGCAGACTGGGAAGGCTGAAGAAAAGGCTGTCTTACTGTTCTGCATATTTTTTTCTGGGTCGGCATAATTCTGACTGTCGGGTAGTTAAGGGCAGCCATGACCATGAGCCCAAAGAAAACTTTTGGATGATGCTAATCCAGAGGAAGTGAAAACTATTGGGCTTAAAGCGGACCTAAATCCTGCTATCCTTTACATCTGAAGACGTCACCTTAGCCTTTTTTTTTTTTTCAGATCTTCAGTTGACACGGTGCTTACCAGCTATGACACCAGCCATTTGAGGACTTTTAAGTTCAGCTGAGAGCTGGCATAAGCACACTGGCAACTGTGAAAGCTATAAAAAGAGGCATGCCTTCAAATGTAACAAGGACAATTAAATCGATGGGATTACTTCCGCTTTAATTTTCAGCACTGGTTTTGAAACTGTTT